ATAAAAGTATGATGTGTTATACGTCATTTTAAAGCGAAAACTTTAACCTTTATTTTAGCATATAAACCATTTCTTAAACTTCATAAATAAATGAGAAATGATTTTTTGAAGTTGTCTCATTTTGCCAATCAATAACGTTAAAATCAAAATAGCAGCGATTTCATTAGAAATTTTTTTTGAAGAAATTTCCAAATAAAATTTTCGAGAGTTATATATCATTTTAAAGCGGAAACTTTAAAGCTTAATTTGGTATAAAGAAAAGTTTTTAATCTCTAGAAATACGGCTGATATGATTGTTTAAAATTAGCAATTATTATTGTTGGATACGTGTACATAAATTGTAAGATTAATGTTAAAAATCATTTTCAAGAAAATTTTTAAAATAAAAGTATGATGTGTTATACGTCATTTTAAAGAGAAAACTTTAAGCTTTATTTTAGTATATAAACCATTTCTTAAACTTCATTAATAAATGAGGAATGATTTTTTGAAGTTGTCTCATTATGCCAATCAATAACGTTAAAATCAAAATAGCAGCGATTTCATTAAGAACTTTTTTTGAAGAAATTTCCAAATAAAGTTTTCGAGAGTTACATATCATTTTAAAGCGGAAACTTTAAAGTTTAATTTGGTATAAAGAAAAGTTTTTAATCTCTAGAAATACGGCTGATATGATTATTTAAAATTAGCAATTATTATTGTTGGATAAATGTACTTAAATTGTAACATTAATGTTAAAATCATATTCAGGAAAATTTTTCAAATAAAAGTATGATGTGTTATACGTCATTTTAAAGAGAAAACTTTAAGCTTTATTTTAGGATATAAACCGTTTCTTAAACTTCATAAATAAATGAGAAATGATTTTTTGAAGTTGTGTCATTTTGCCAATCAATAACGTTAAAATCAAAATAGCAGCGATTTCATTAGAAATTTTTTTTGAAGAAATTTCCAAATAAAATTTTCGAGAGTTACATATCATTTTAAAGCGGAAATTTTAAAGTTTAATTTGGTATAAAGAAAAGTTTTTAATCTCTAGAAATACGGCTGATATGATTGTTTAAAATTAGCAATTATTATTGTTGGATACGTGTACTTAAATGGTGACATTAAAGTTAAAAATCATTTTCAGGAAAATTTTTAAAATAAAAGTATGATGTGTTATACGTCATTTTAAAGAGAAAACTTTAAGCTTGATTTGAATATATAAACGATTTCTTAAACTTCATAAATAAATGAGGAATGATTTTTTGAATTTGTCTCATTTTGCCAATCAATAACGTTAAAATCAAAGTAGCAGTGATTTCATTACAAATATTTTTTGAAGAAATTTCTAAATAAAATTTTCGAGAGTTATATATCATTTTAAAGCGGAAACTTTAAAGTTTAATTTGGTATAAAGCCAAGTTTTTAATCTCTAGAAATACGGCTGATATGATTGTTTAAAATTAGCAATTATTATTGTTGGATACGTGTACTTAAATTGTAACATTAATGTTAAAAATCATTTTCAGGAAAATTTTTAAAATAAAAGTATGATGTGTTATACGTCATTTTAAAGAGAAAACTTTAAGCTTTATTTTAGGATATAAACCGTTTCTTAAACTTCATAAATAAATGAGAAATGATTTTTTGAAGTTGTCTCATTTTGCCAATCAATAACGTTAAAATCAAAATAGCAGTGATTTCATTAGAAATTTTTTTTGAAGAAATTTCTAAATAAAATTTTCGGGAGTTATATATCATTTTAAAGCGGAAACTTTAAAGTTTAATTTGGTATAAAGCCAAGTTTTTAATCTCTAGAAATACGGCTGATATGATGGTTTAAAATTAGCAATTATTATTGTTGGATATATGTACTTAAATTGTAACATTAATGTTAAAAATCATTTTCAGGAAAATTTTTAAAATAAAAGTATGATGTGTTATACGTCATTTTAAAGAGAAAACTTTAATCTTTATTTTGGTATATAAATCTTTTCTTAAACTTCATAAATAAATAAGGAATGATTTTTTGAAGTTGTCTCATTTTGCCAATCAATAACGTTAAAATCAAAATAGCAGCGATTCCATTAGGATTTTTTTTTGAAGAAATTACCAAATAAAATTTTGGAGGGTTATATATCACTTTAAAGCGGAAACTTTAAAGTTTAATTTGGTATAAAGCCAAGTTTTTAATCTCTAGAAATACGGCTGATATGATTGTTTAAAATTAGCGATTATTATTGTTGGATAAGTGTACTTAAATTCTAAGATTAATGTAAAAAATCATTTTCAGGAATATTTTTAAAATAAAAGTATGATGTGTTATACGTCATTTTAAAAAGAAAACTTTAAGCTTTATTTTAGTATATAAATCATTTCTTAAACTTCATAAATAAATGAGGAGTGATTTTTTGAAGTTGTCTCATTTTGCCAATCAATAACGTTAAAATCGAAGTAGCAGTGATTTCATTAGGAATTTTTTTTGAAGAAATTTCCAAATAAAATTTTCGAGAGTTACATATCATTTTAAAGCGGAAACTTTAAAGTTTAATTTGGTATAAAGCCAAGTTTTTAATCTCTAGAAATACGGCTGATATGATCGTTTAAAATTAGCGATTATTATTGTTGGATACGTGTACTTAAATTATAACATTAATGTTAAAAATCATTTTCAGGAAAATTTTTAAAATAAAGGTATGATGTGTTATACGTCATTTTAAAGAGAAAACTTTAAGCTTTATTTTAGTATATAAACCGTTTCTTAAACTTCATAAATAAATGAGAAATGATTTTTTGAAGTTGTCTCATTTTGCCAATCAATAACGTTAAAATCAAAATAGCAGCGATTTCATTAGGAATTTTTTTTGAAGAAATTTCCAAATAAAATTTTCGCGAGTTATATATCATTTTAAAGCGGAAACTTTAAAGCTTCATTTGGTATAAAGAAAAGTTTTTAATCTCTAGAAATACGGCTGATATAATTGTTTAAAATTAGCAATTATTATTGTTGGATATATGTACTTAAATTGTAACATTAATGTTAAAAATCATTTTCAGGAAAATTTTTAAAATAAATGTATGATGTGTTATACGCCATTTTAAACAGAAAACTTTAAGCTTTATTTTAGTATATAAACCATTTCTTAAACTTCATAAATAAATGAGAAATGAGTTTTTGAAGTTGTCTCATTTTGCCAATCAATAACGTTAAAATCAAAATAGCAGCGATTTCATTAAAAATTTTTTTTGAAGAAATTTCCAAGTAAAATTTTCGAGAGTTATATATCATTTTAAAGCGCAAACTTTAAAGTTTAATTTGGTATAAAGAAAAGTTTTTAATCTCTAGAAATACGGCTGATATGATTGTTTAAAATTAGCGATTATTATTGTTGGATACGTGTACTTAAATTGTAACATTAATGTTAAAAATCACTTTCAAGAAAATTTTTAAAATAAAAGTATGATGTGTTATACGTCATTTTAAAGAGAAAACTTTAAGCTTTATTTTAGCATATAAACCATTTCTTAAACTTCATAAATAAATGAGAAATGATTTTTTGAAGTTGTCTCATTTTGCCAATCAATAACGTTAAAATCGAAGTAGCAGCGATTTCATTACAAATTTTTTTTGAAGAAATTTCCAAATAAAATTTTCGAGAGTTATATATCATTTTAAAGCGGAAACTTAAAAGTTTAATTTGGTATAAAGAAAAGTTTTTTATCTCTAGACATACGGCTGATATGATTGCTTAAAATTAGCAATTATTATTGTTGTACTTAAATTGTAACATTAATGTTAAAAATCATTTTCAAGAAAATTTTTAAAATAAAAGTATGATGTGTTATACGCCATTTTAAAGAGAAAACTTTAAGCTTTATTTCAGTATATTAAAATTTCCATAAATTAGATATCATTTTTCAAAGTTGTCAAATTCTATAGAGTGAAATAGAAAAATGTTAGAAAGTTAATTTAAAATAATTTTGATGTTGTATTGTGGAAATATGCTCATTTGCTTGCGTAACGCTTTGGGAGTCATCTAAAGAACAACAATGCGAATCCTATTTAACTCCGTTCAAAAACCATTTGGAGTAGAACTCTTTGAGAATTTCATGCCATTAAAAATAAACTTGGACGGTTTACGATGGTTTTATTGAGTCGAAGGGAACGAAACTCTGCGCAACTAGTTTATGGTTTATATAACTTCTTTTATTTTCTTAAGTTTTAAAATATTAAAATAGAAATAAACTCAAAATGACTTTTATATTACTTATTTCAAATTTATTTTAAATTATCTTGTTAGAGGAGATAAATTATGATATTTCCTGCATTATATTAATGTTTTGAAACATTGTGAGTAAATAAATAAACGAAAAACACAATGAGGAAGTAGCGGGATCAACAAATATTCCCATCATCGAGTATATACTATATAATAATAATAACACCACGGTTGAGTTATATTTGGAGCTATAAACGGTGTTTTCGATCCGTAGTAAAAGGCAAAAGGCGTGACCTGCGTTAACAAGTTTAGCTTTTAGTAAAGAAACGGTGTTTGCTCATTCTTGTTTTTTTGACGATTAAAAATTGTACTAAAATTTTCCAACTAAAAATACTTATATGATAAATAAAAAAAATTTTAAAACACACAAAGTTCAATCAAAGAGAACATCAATCGGTTTTGGCATTTAAATGAGATCCGATTTCAATTAAAACGTGCCTTCGGTTTAACGGATGAAATTGATGGCATCCCTTTCTGCGTACCTTTCTGCTTTGTCTATAACATCATGGAGGGTTTTGTGTTTCTCGATTCCTCTGTTAATGCTCGGCGAATGTTAAACCGGAAGCGATAATAACGTTGTAATCGCGACGTGTACGGTTCACTGATTTGATTGATGCAAAAATTAAGAAAAGATTTAAAATGAATGTTAATTTGGGTTTGTAACAAAATAAAAGTCTTGATTGGTATGAACGTCTAATTTGGCCGCAAGTCAATTAATCCTTTATCTGGGTTGATAGGAAGTGCGGTCTTAACTTTGTTAAGATCGTTAAAGGAAATTGAAAAACCTTAGGGATTGGCAGGTAAAGTTTTTTTAAAGTTACTAAAGTAAAAGAATTCATTGTTGAATTTCAAAAGTTTCAAACAATCAAAATTCTGTATTTTTTTTGTGATCAATTATTTATGAAGATTAAGAAATTGTTTATATATTAAAATAAAGCTTAAAGTTTCCTCTTCAAAATGAGGTATAACACTTGATATTTTATTTTTATTTCAGATTAAATCATAAATTATGGGTGATAATTGGAATTCATCTTACGTTTATGGAACGGATACAATAAGCGGATGGGGAAACCGTTACTTTTTTACCTACTTCACGGAAATGAGCGAGAGAAATCCTTGGAGAACATCATCCGAAGTAACGGCTTTTTCCCTAATTTTCCTTATTTCCATATTTGCGAATGTCGCAATCGCCATTTGTGTAATAAGGTGAGTTTCTAGGACAATTTTTCACCAGATCATCCTGCAGAAAGAAGGTCACAATATGCACAATCGTAATATTTCCGCGGAGGCGGGAAAGAGATTCGTTCGTCCTTCGAAAGGAATTTAGAGAACGACGTCAATTTTTCACGTCGAAGCTTCTCCTTGAAAAAGAATAGAAAAAACAACAAGTTGGAATATTTTTTAGATAGAGGGAAATTAAATAAATCTCTTCAATCCATTGATTGTTAGCTGTGTTTACTAAATGAGATTTTGTATTTTCAGATTTCCCGACATGCGTACCGTAACAAACTGTTTTGTGCTAAATTTGGCTGCTGCCGATCTCCTTTTCGCCGTTTCCATCCCTGCAGTGGCTTATTCCCGATTCCATGAAACCTGGAAATTAGGGAATATTGCTTGCAGACTCATCCCATATGTTCAGGTATGTACTTTAAAGATTCATTTTCTTTTTAATCGCCGATTTGAGACTAAATAAAAGTTAAAAATATCGTTAATGAAAAAAATTGTTTTCTTCAGAACTGTTAGGAATTAAGAAATAAAATTTTTTAGGGTTATAAAGGAATGTTTGAAGATAGGTTATGCCAAATTTAAAGTTTCCACGATAAACAATTATTTTATAAAAAATTGTTGAAATCACCTATTTAATTTGACGTTTCTTGAAAGTCTCATTATCAAAAAAGATTGATATCTCCAAAACGGTTAGGATTTGAGAAATGAAACTTTTTGAGGTTATAAAGGAATGTTTGAAGATAGATTATGCCAAATTTAAAGTTTCCACGATAAAAAATTATTTTATAAAAAAATTTTGAAATCACCTATTTAATTTGACGTTTCTTGAAAAAGTCTCATTAACAAAAAAGATGATATCTCCAAAACAATTAGGATTTAAGGAATGAAACTTTTTGAGGTTATAAAGGAATGTTTGAAGATAGGTTATGCCAAATTTAAAGTTTCCACGATAAACAATTATTTTATAAAAAATTGTTGAAATCACCTATTTAATTTGACGTTTCTTGAAAGTCTCATTATCAAAAAAGATTGATATCTCCAAAACGGTTAGGATTTGGGAAATTAAACTTTTTGAGGTTATAAAGCAACGTTTCAAGAGAGGTTATGCCAAATTTAAAGTTTCCACGACAAACAATTATTTTATAAAAAATTGTTGAAATCACCTATTTAATTTGACGTTAATTTGATTTCTGAAAAAGGCAGTAAGGGTACGTAGTAAGGGAAATGGAAGGGGAAAAGAAGAAGAAAAGGGTAGGGAGAGATGAAAGTGTGGACACATTAGAGAAACAAACAAGGGATATGGAGACGAGATCCACAGGAGGGCATTCGTATACTGAATCTGAGGACTCGAGGAAAAGGGACAGGGAGGAGGAAGAAGGGCTAACAGAGATAGGATATGTGGGGGCCAGATACAAGAGACCGATAAGCATGATTTCCTTGGAAATGGACGGAGGGAAGAAAGAGGGAAGAGTTGAGCATGGCACAACAGTTACATCCACGAACTCCGGGAAAAACTGGAGACTGAACTCTCAGGCCAGTATAGAGAGATATTCCTAAAAGAAGACGCGCCTAAGAATTATGGATATCTTTAGGAGAGTAGAGGCCTCAGCAACGAGAGTTGTGGTGACGATGGCTAAAAATAATGGGAAAGAAAGATTTTCGATAAGAAGATGAAAGAAATGGAGTCCTGGAAAGAAGCAGGGGATAGAGAGCACGAAGGATACGCTAGAACTGTTAAGAGGGGTGAGGGGAACGAAATGGACCCGGTCGGTACAGGAGGAAGGCTGGGGAGAGAAAGGGCGCGAGCAAGAACACCATCATAGTTCAGGGTGGGGAGAGTATCGTAGATAGCGCGGAATTGAAGAATGATGTGGTGAAGAAGCTAGAAAAAGAAGACAGTTGGAAAGACGTGAAGTTGAAAAGGGTAAGTAAGCTGAAAAACAAGAGGGTATTAATAGAGGGAGACTCGGGGAGGGATGTTGAATTGGTAAGGGAGAAGATCAGGGGTCAGGACATAACGATGCGGGAACCAGCAATGGTGTGGCCTAAGGTAATACTCTATGATGTGGACAGAAAGATGAACGAGGGGGTATTATTGGAGCAGCTGTGGGGTAAAAACACTGAGTAAGGGTTGGGATAGGTTGAGATAGGCCAGAATATTGTTCAAGACGGGCAGAAGAGAAAAGGGGGTGGTAAATTATGTTATGAAATTGTCAGGAATACCAGATAGCGACGGAGTTGGTGAAGAGAAGTATTAATTATGACGATTATGATATTTGAGGTGATTTGTAGAGTAAGATGGAAAAGAGATGGAGGCAGAAGGGCATGGTAAAAAGGCAAATCAAGCTAGAGGGAGAGAAGGTGCAGATAGTCACAGTATATAGCAAGGCAATGAAAGAGACAATGAGACAATGAGAAGATATGACAGAGGAGGGGAGGGAGGGACACCTGATTATTGGAGGGGACTTTAATGCAAGAATAGGGGAAGAAGGAGGGAGAGGGGCGACGGTCCAAGGATAAGATTCTGAATGGAGAAGGAAGGGAGATGCTAAAGTGGGTAGAGGAGAGGGGATGAGAGATACTGAATGGGAATATGGAGGAAGGAGATGAAGGGGAATATACCTATACGGGTGCAAGGGGGGCGTCCGTGATAGATTATGTGGTAGTGGATCAAGGAATATGGGAGAGGATAGAAACATTTAGGATTGGGGCGTTGGTAGAGTCGGATCACCAGCCTCTAGAAGTGTGCATAAAGGGATCGAGGGGAAGAAGGAACAAAAAGATAAGGAAACATGGTGGAAAATACATTAGGGTAGATTGGTCGAAAGAGGGGAGAGAACATTGTAGGGGAAAGTTGGCAAGCTGGGGTCAGAGGGTGGAGGAGGCCGACGAGTTGAATGAACTAATAGAGGTGGTTAGGGAGGCGATGTTGAAGAAACAGAGTGGGCGACATGGTACTAGACTGGGAAGAAACGAACGGTGCGATAGAGAAGCCAGAAGGAAATTGAGATTAAGGAGTTGAAAGAGAAAAATGAGTATGGAGATACTTAAAGAGGATGAGGAAGGGAAGAGAGGAAGTCAGCAGAGATATACAAATGACTGAATGGAGAACCTACTTCATGGAATTGTTGGGAGGGGTGGCAGAGAGAAGACTGGGAGAGGGAAAGCGAGGGGTGCAAGGAGGAGAAGAGATAACACTAGAAGAAATGGAGGTAGTGTTGAGGGGACTGAAGAGGGGAAGGGCGCCAGGAGAGGATGAGATCCAGAATGAGGCATGGTTGGAGGCGCCAGAAACGGTAATGAATAAGCTATGGAAGGTAATAAACGACGTATGGGTGGTGGAGAGGTTTCCGGACAAGTGAAGGATGGGCATAATATGCCCACTGTATAAAAAGGGGAATAAAAGGGTGGTGAGCAATTATAGAGGGATCAACCTGTGGGTCACAACTTTCAAAATTTATGCAAAAATACTGCTGGGGAGGTTGGAAGAGGAAATGGAGAGGGGAGAATTGTTGCCGGATGGGCAAGTGGGATTCAGGAAGGAAAGAAGAGCAATTGACAATATATACATTCTGAAACACCTGGTAGATAGGGAGGTGAACAAGAAGGGGGGAAAGCTGTATGAATTGTTTATTGATCTGAAGGCTGCATTCGATAACGTGGATAGAAAGAAGTTGTGGGAGGAAATAAGGAGGAGTGGTATAACAGAACAACTGTTAGGGAAGGTGAAGAAGATGTACAGGGAGACCAGGACCAAGGTTAAAGTGGGGGTGTGGGGGTTTTCTCACATATTATAAAATAATATAACTAGTATTTTTAGAAAAAGATTTTGTATTTGTAAAGTAAAAAAATTGACTTCCTTTTTTGCTGAAATCTATGCAATAATAAAAAAAATGAACTTATACATAGTAACGTAAAATAACCGATTTGAGCAGTGAAGTATGAGGAAATGATAGAAGCAAGACCACATTGCAGGATTCTGGGAGAGTGCTGGAGGGAAATTAAGGGGAGGAGGCTGATCTATGGACAAAGAGACAGGGAAGAATATTATAGAAGAGTGAAAACCGAGAGATATGGACAGGGATATACAGAGGCAGGAAAGAAGGTCACAGATACGAGAAGGGAGATACAATGAAAGGTATGGAGAGATAGTGACAGAGGCACTGCCAAAATATTTGTTGATGGAGAGGGATGATGAAGGGAAGAGATTGGTGGCCAAATTCCGCTGTGGTAATGAGGAGAGGGGGAATAGGTAAACACATGCTGAGAGGGTGTAGTGAGCTAAAGGAGGAGGCAATGGACAGGAAGCAGATTTTGGGAGACGGGGGCGTGGGCAAAAGATGGATGAGGGAGATGATGGTGGCGAGGAGGCGAAGGGGGGAGGAGGGTAGAAGATTTGGAGGACAAATGTAACCACATGTACTAGAGTGAAAATGATGACGATTCATGTAAAAAAAATTAGTAAAGGTCCTCATATTGCAAACATACAGGCCATCAAAGTTAGGAAATTTTAACACGTTTTTCTAAATATCTTAAACACTATTTATGGTAAAGCGTTGAAATTTTGTACAGTGTAAACTAATATCACGTAAAATCATTAGGCAATTTTTGAGTTGGATCGGTACGCGGGAACAATGCTATACAGGATGTTCCTAAAGTTTGTTTGCTCAGAACATTTTTATTCTATCATAACATTAGGCTCCAAATCCAATAACACTAAAAAATAAAAAAAAAATAAATAATCTGAATTGGCAATGACAAGTGAAAATCGAACTGAGCTGTCATTACTATTATGTTTACAACATGTCCAAGTGTAGATTTAGCTAAATCACATTTTTAATTTGTTTTAGTTGGTTTAATAAAAGAATTCGAAAACAATAAATTAAAAATCAACAAAAAAACCACAACACTAACAGGAATAATAAAAAAAGTACATAAAATAACAAGACAAGTAATAAAAAATACTAAAGGAAATGTTCAAAAACTTAGATTTCTTTCTTTTTAGTGTTATTATTGAAATCAGAACCCAACATTTTTGCATTTAACACGAAAACGATGACTATCACGATGATTATCAATATTATGTAAGAGTAATAAAAGTTTCTAAACTAAATTTACTATTAGAAACTGCAAAAATAAATGTAGGGTTATGATAGAATAAAAAAGTTCTGAGCAAACAAACTTAGGAACAGCCTGTATAGCATTATATTAGCACCGATACTAAAAAACATTTAAAATAAAACATCGTTTAAGCTGTAATACAGATTTTTGATTAACATTTAAAACTGAAACGATAAAACTGGAACAAACCTTAGCTTTATGTATAGCATTGTTCCCGAGGACCGATCCAACTAATAAATTGCCTAACGATTTTACATCACATTGATTTATACTGTACCAAATTTCAACGCTTTACCGTAAATAGTGTTTAAGATATTTGGAAAAATGTGTTAAACTTTCCTAACTTTGATGGTCTGTATCTTTGAAATTTGAAGACTTTTACTAATTTTTTTTACATGAATCGTCATCATTTTCACTCTATATGTGACTAAATTTGTTCCCCGAGTCACCGAAACACCCTGTATATACAGTGTGTCCCCGGATAAGTGAAACGACTCTTATAAAATGTAAAATTTTTTCGATATTAATTGTCATTTTTTGAGGTTTAGCCCTGCTTGGTGAAAGACTAATTTTTTTGTTTTTTAAAACTTGAAAATATGTTTAAAATTAGTCTTTAATCAAGCAGGGCCAAACTCCAAAAAATGACAATTAATATCGAAAAAAAAAGATTTTACGTTTTATAAGAGTCGTTTCATCTATCCGGGGACACACTGTATATAGTAGAAGGGAAAATTGTAAATACAGGTGTCCCGTTAAGCGTACGGAGCGGCTGTATCTCTAGAACGGTAAGGCCTAGAGGTTTTGGAAAAAAATCCTTCTAAGCAAAGTGACCAAGAGAAATAGCTGGAAATTATTTTGAAGTTCGTAATTCGACCGCTAGGGGGCGTAACTGCCATTGAGAAACATAAAGTTCCCGCTATCTCAGAAACTTAGACGATGAGCTATAACTTTGACAAGATCATTTAATAGCTTGGATAATACCGCATCACTTTTGTTTTGCGATATTTCTCATATCTGTCATACTAAGGGAGGGGGAGGCCAATGCGTTTTCATATGTTTACATTTTAATATCTCCTAGACCATTCAACCGATTTGAATGTTTTCGGTGTTGTTTGAAAGAGCATTTTATGCTCTTTTTAAAGATATTTTCAGTAAGGCCGTTTGCTTTAAAACAAATGAGCTAGAGGTTGTTATTTGCAGCGATTACATATTTTTGTGATTTTTGAAGAAAAGTTAAATGGAACGATACTATTTACTTCACAGACCCTTAGTCACCTTAAAATTTGCTAAATTTTAGTGAAAACCGCATCTCGATATCGCCACCCGTTCTCGAGTTATAGAAGAAAATGTTAAAAACTCGAGTGCCATCAATCGGATCCAGTTACCTCATCGAGAAAAACAAATCACATTACCATGGTAACTGTAAACATGTCATTTACTAACGCAGAAGCGTATGATAGAGCGTATGATGATTTATTTTCAATGTTTCGAATACGATGCAACTGCATGGCAAAAATGTGCAATGCAATTACGACAAAGAAAGACATTTTTCTCTAGAAGTGTTTTTAAGATTGACTTAGCGATTACGGAAAACTGGCAACGTGTAGCCCATTCAGACATCTCTATGAATTCGTAAATCATATTGGTGCGCAATGTGATCCCACATAATCTGGGAACTCCGAAAACAATTGTCCACAAGAGTTCTCAAGAGAATAATATCTCCACCACGTTGTTTTACATCAGGCCTTAACAGATACCGATTATGATAACAGACTGAACTATTACCATTGACTTTTAAATATGATTTGGGCAAATCCAAACCTTTTATCACAAATGCTATGGATGCATGAAGCATCTGTCCACAAGCTGATGTAAACTTGCATAATATGCATTCTTGGTTCGAGCAAAACCCACATTGCTTTCACCCCTTTATCTATTGGGTAGACTAAACGACCTGACTTTTCAAGAAAAACCAATAACCAGGGAAAATATGACAAAACACTAAATACCAGTAGAAACGTGTCCAGGGCCGAGACTTAAGCAGCGCTTTTTTTTCGTCGAAACTAGATTAAATAAATGCATCGAGGTTTATGGAAGGCATTTCGCACATTAGTGAGTTATTTTTGCCAAAAATTTAAGTTATTCTAAGTGTTTTGGTTTATTTTGTTTTATTATCATTGTTGATGTTTCATTGATCCGTTGGCTTTTCAACACGCCTCAAAAGTAGTTTTGAAGCAGTTCTAAGCTTGGATAAAGTGTGAAGGAAGGTTCTAGATAATAAAATTTTTGTTCTCTCTTATTTGTTTCCTAAGGTAACTTGATCCGATTAAGATATACGAATTTTTAACATTTTCTTTTATAATTCGAGAATGGATGGAGATATCGAGATGCGGTTTTCACTAATATTTAGCAAATTTTATGGTGATTAACGGTCTGTGAAGTAAATAGTACCGTTCCATTTAACTTTTTTTCAAAAATCACAAAAATATGTAACCGCTGCAGATAACGCCCTCTAGCTTATTTGTTTTAAACCAAGCGGTCTTACTGAAAATATCTTTTAAAAGAGCATGAAATGCTCTTTCAAACAAGACCAAAAATATTCAAATCGGTTGAATGGTCCAGGAGATATTAAAATGTAAACATTTGAAAACGCATTGGCCTCCCCCTCCCTTATTATGACAGATATGAAAAATATTGCAAAACAAAAGCGATGCGGTATTATCCAAGCTACTAAATGATGTTGTCAAAGTTATAGCTCATCGTCTAACTTTCTGAGATAGCAGGAATTTTATGTTTCTCTATGGCAGTTACGCCCCCTAGCGGTCGAATTACGAACTTCAAACTAATTTCCAGCTATTTCTCTTGCCCACTTTGCTTATAAGGATTTTTTTCCCAAACCTCTAGGCCTTACCGTTGTTGAGATACAGCCGCTCCGTACGCTTAACGGGACACCCTGTATTAAAAAAAACCTATTTAATTTGACGGAACTTGAAGTCTCATGAACAAACAAGATTGATTTCTCCAAAACTGTTAGGATTTAAGGAATGAAACTTTTTGAGGTTATAAAGGAATGTTTCAAGATAGGTTATGCCAAATTTAAAGATTCCGTGATAAATACTTATTTTATAAAAAAATTTTAAAATCATTTGACGTTTCTTGAAAGTCTCATTATCAAAAAAGATTGATTTCTTGAAAACAGTTAGGATTTAAAAAATGAAACGTTTTTTGAGGTTATTAAAGAACGTTTGAAGATAGATTATACGGAATTAAAAACTTTCATAATGAATTTTGTAATACAACAAATTTGAGTTAAAACCAAATTGACAGAAACGTGTCCAAACACGTGTATACATTAAATTCGAATTGGAAAATTTACAATCGCTTTAAATGGCGAGTTAATTTTAGCTTCCAAATGAATTGTTTTGGCTAAAATTTCAGTTAGTTCGATTCAATTACAAAATTTTAATTGAACTAATTCATTTTTTTGTTCAGTTCGTTTCAGGTGTCGTTTTATTATGGACTTTGGCCTTCATCAGCATCGATCGCCATAAATGCATCGTAATCCCGCCTTATCGCTCAAAAATGACACCTACGGAAGCTAGCATATACTCAGCTTTAATTTGGTTAATGGGAACCGTGATGTTTGTTCCGGTTCTATTTTGGTTCCGCGAGCAAGAAACCAACGGCAATAAATTAATTTGTACCTTAGTTTTCCCAAAAACTGAATCGTTAGATATTTCTTTTTGTTTCATCGTCCCCGTTGTTCTCCTAGCTTGTCTCCTCCCAATGATCATTTTAGTTTATAGCTACCAAAGAATTTTCCACAAAATTATCTCAACCCGCAACACTTGGGCGAATTCTTGCGTCATGGTGAACACAATCGACTCGAAGAAACCCCGCAACAATAAGGGACGAAGACAAAGCGAAATAAGCGTCTCCGATATCTTCACCCCCTGGCCAAGAAAGCTCTCGTTATCACAACAAGAAGAAATACGAATCAACAAACATATTAAAGTAGTAAGGGTGCTATTTTTAAACGTAATCGTTGTTTTATTGATGTGGCTCCCAATTACAATCGTGATGTTTTTGATTTTTATCGACGGAAGACGTCCCGATGAAAATAAAGAATACTTCTTAAGATCCCACCACTTTGTGATTACCTTAATCGTGGCGTTTTTGAACACGGTGATTAATCCCGTTTTGTACGGCGTGTTATCGGATAATTTCCGAGCGTGTTTAATTAAAATGTTGTGTTTTAAGGGAAATCATGAAAATGGGAATATTTTGAAAGAAAATGTTACGCCGAGTAGTGGGAGGAATCAGGGGTTTATTAAAAACACGAGGAAACAGAGTTTGGGGAACTCGATTAGCGAGTTGCCGCATGAAATCGCTTAACTAAAAATATCCCCTTGTTTTGAGCAAGGAGTGTAAAATTTCCATTATATTGTCATCTCGATGTTACATTTTTAACTTAACATAATAATTGTAATAAAAAAGTATTGTAAATATATTCTTATTAATATTGATGATTGTAGATACCCGAGGAACAAAGCAAATCTGTGATTTAAGTTCTTTGTTAACAGTATTAAATAAAACTTTAACCTTAAAGTTAATGAATTGAAATGTTTTTAAGGGCTATATTTAGTGTAAGATTTTTTTTTGTATAAATCTTTTTGTATAATTTGCTGAGTGTAAGAAATAAATTAAAAAGTATTCTGGTTATGATTTTTAGATGAAAAAACCGTATCTCAATAACGAATTGTGATATCATCCTGTATATTAAAAAAATTCTTTTATGGCTATTATACAGGGTGTCCGAAAATGACGTGCACAACGCAAGACCACTAGTACCTTGACCAAAAATATTTCATTCATGATGAATCAAAGATAAAACGCAAAACAAAAAATGCGAATATCGAATTTTGTAAGAGAAAAAATAGTTTCTAAATTAAAGTAACTACTCAGAAAAAAAGAATGGTAGGGTTTGTAAAGGAGGTTAAATAGATATGGATGAATAATTTATTGTGATAGTTTTTAAGCACCCTATAATTTTCGAAATTAGAGTTTATTCCACAAATAGATGTAGTCTACTGATACAAACGCATGACCAAAAAATGAATAAAATCCATTGAGGATTTTTCGATTTATTTAAAAAATTTTAAAAAAATATTATTTTTAAAGCCCTCTAGCGGCTAAACTAAACAATTTTGTATATAGATAAGTTGAGGTCTTGCGTTGTACACGTCATTTCCGAACACCTGTATAATAGTCATAAAAGAATTTTTCTTAATATACAGGTGTCTCACGTAACTGGTTCGTTAGAGCTTTTTCAGGTTCCACTATTCGTACAGTTTTGAAATTTTGGTAGCATGGGTTGTCCATTCTACAACTTTCGATCTAAAATATTTTAAAGGTGGCCGCCACTTCCGGTCTACCAGAAATAGACCATAACTTCGTTATTTTAAATGGAATGCTACAGTTTTTATTACACCGTTTAATTGTACAGGGTGTCCCAATTTCGATGTCCGCATAGGCTATCTCCGAAACTACAAGAGATAGAAAAAAAGTAGCTTACATGTCATGATCTCGTTTTTCGAGAAAATGCTAATGCAGAAAACTCCGAACAGCTATCATCTTTTGTTTTCGCCCTATCGGCAAAAACTGAAAATTTTGCAAAAACGACAATCGCGAATATCTCACTTATTATCAAAGATGGAGTATTATAAATAAAACATTATATAGGCAACTTTTTGCGAAGAATTCAGTGGCGTAGGTAGAATTTTTTTCCCATCATTTATTTTCGAGATTTTAGACGGAAGTTTATTTTTTTAAATGGAAACCATAGTTGGCTATGACTTAAAATAATTTGTTATTTTCTTCTGATAACAAATATATACCGATTGGTAACTTTAATTTTAGGAGATACACCCAACACGGACGTACGTATAAGTATACGTGTGTGTGTATATTCGGTGTCGTTAAGTGGGGGATAAACAAGCGTAGGGGTAATGCACAAATTGAATCGTTCATAGATTGTTGAGAGGCGAAGTTGGCCCATCGCTTTGCAGTTAACCCTAGCAAAAAAAAACTAAGATGTTGTTTACTGTAGCGGAAAAGGTACAGATTATAAAATGGTTTTATGGTGGCAATTCTGTAGCCCAAATAATTAATTTGTTTCCTGTGGCCTATGAAAACAGATCAATTCCTAGTCGCGGAACAATTTCAAATATTATTAAAAACTTTGAGCGACATGGATGTGTGTCTCCACAGAAACACAAATTACGAAGGGGTAAAAGAGATGAGTTACGTGATACGATGATATGTGCTGATGTTGAACGCAATAAAAATCAGTCAAGCAGACAAGTTGCGGAGACGTTTGCTATCAGCCATGTTGCCGTCCTAAAAACATTAAAGAAACACGGGTACAGGTCGTACAAGGTACAAGGGCGGAATTTTGCTTTACTATGATGGAAATGGCCAACGGAAATGTTGATTTTATAAAAAACATTTTATTTACCGATGAATCTACATTTCCTTTGCATGGTCGGCATAATCCCAGCGTTGCTCGATATTGGAGTCGTGACAATGAACACAAAGTTTATGCGGCTCGTACACAATATCCCCAAAAATTAAATGTTTGGGCTGGCTTAGTAGGTGACCATATTATCGGTCCTTTTTTCATAGAAGGAAAT